GTCACAGTGAATTAGCAGCGCTTTCTTTTCCCTGTAGTCCATCCCAGGCTTTTGTCATTGAAGCATCCCCTTTGCCCGTATCTACTTGTTAAAAGACAAAGTGAAAAAAAACGAATAAATTCACAGTACTTTTGCCCTAAAAAAAAGCCTGATTATGTTATGCTAGTATCCTCTGAATGGAGACTCTGAACAGTACTGAACCATCACTGCTAAAGACTGTTACAGCATAAATGTTATAGGGGATTCAAGCTACAATTACTCATTTTGTACAGTCGCTTAATCCACTAATGGGAAGAAATGGGGCAACAGTTTAAGAAGGCAAGAGAACTGTCAGAGATCATTAAATCTACTGGGATGATTTGTTTTGGTAGTCTCTCTTGACCCAAGTACCTGCTTCAGCTAATGCAACAGACTTCTTGCTCTAATTACCAGAGGCATTAAATGATGGGTCATCATTAGCAACTGCAAATTAAGGGTTGTATTTCATCTGCAAGGCAGCATCTTCAACTGGGCTTATTTGTTGCCACTGCAGATCATCTGTGAGTCACAAGTGGTTCATTGGATTGACTCATTTGTGTGATTTAGTAGAGGCTTTTTAATACATGCTTACTGTTCAAGTAGTTTTTCTAAATATTGCCAAACAGAAAATGCCACAATATTGGACTTCCCCATACAGTTAATACTACTGCTCTTATTTACATGATGCTGGTGATTTTTTTATTGTTGTATAGTTCACAGCTCAGATGATTTTCGATTGTAGGTTTGAAATATATTTGTCATATCTATGAAATTGAAGAGTGAATAAAGGAAAGCCAGGCAAGCATGGAAAGCATCAGTAATTGGCAGCTTCAGAAGATACAAGAGCCAATCTAATACCATTCAAGAGATACATTCACAGAATACTTTCATGTGGGTTTCACAGATCCACAATCATATTCAGTTCTGGATATTGCCAAAGGCATGAATGAAGATGATATATCATAGATTCAGTATTTTTGGAGATACTAGGAAATCCCTAAATCCTCTTAGAAGAATACAGGTAAGCAAATGAAGACACAACTACAAAGGAAATTAGCTACAAACTGAACTCCATTACAAGGTGCTATGAGGTGGACACTGAAATAAAACAAATAGGGGGATGTAATACAGCTGAATCATTTCAGATGAACTTATGCAGGTCAGCAGGCAGGGAACTATGACTTGAGAAGACCAAGATATTGAAGCATAGCTTGAAAATGCTTGAGAACAGCTGGATAAATCAGCGGATGCTCATCAAGTAGAATTTTGGGGACTGTCTGTGGTCAGCTAGCTATGTAAGTAATGCTGATAACCTCCTGAGGGACACGAAAGAGGGAAGGAAGGTTGCAGTGCCCTCAGCAAGAACTGTCTGAGGGTGAGCCTCCCTCTCAGAAATATGCCCAGACCCCACTGGGGCCTTAAGCCTCTTTCAAAAAACAAGAGAAAAGAAAGGGATTCAGAGGTGTCAGAAAGGTAGCCATTCTCTGTGCAGATGGGAATCTCCTTAGAAACAAGTATACTTGGGGAATTTACTTTGTTAAATTATCAAAGCTCAAAAGCTCTTTACAGGGCTCAGATCCATGATATCTGATGGATTGTGAGCCAACTAGAACTGAAGAGGCATTTTCTGTTTGTGTCTTCATGTCGCTGCCTGGCTTCAGCGGGGTGCTTTGTATCTCTGTGAAGCAGTTGTGGGCTTTTCTTGTCCGTTCAGTCCATGGCTGGCTCGGTTGTCAGGCTGACACTTGGGAGAGCCGGATGGGAACACGTGGCCCTGGCTGATACTCTGTGAAGACACATTTCTGCGGCAGGCCATGGCCTCCCCTGCTGGCGGAGTGTTGCTCAAAAAGCAACAGTTAACAAACATTCTCCTTCAAGGAACAAAATATGCCTCGTCCGGGAGAAAGGAGGAGGGTCTAAGTGACAAGAGGGGCATTCTTTCCTTCTGTGCTTCTCGAAGAGTGAGGAACAAGAAATAGCCTTTCTTCACTCCCTCTTGCTGGTGCGCCTGGGGCATTGAGTTGTTGCAGGTTCAGAGGAAATGTTTCTTGGGAGATTGTGTTTATTAGTCTTTGGAGCTTGGGTCCGTCTCGGGTTTTCTCCATTTGTAATCTTACTTTTGTATACAAGCACTGTCAGGATAGATACTCCCTGAGAAGGACCAACTGGAGCATGGATTTGCTTCTGTAGTTCTGGTGGTTAATTGGAGGGGGGGGAAATAAAAAAAGCAAGCTAGAAATCCTGAGCTTTGAATGGGGTGAGCTGCAAAAGCCATGACTACTGGCTGAAGATAGATGAAGGTTTCACTGCAACAACACTGCATCAGTTCAGCAGATCTCACTGGAGGAGCCTGGATTCTTCCCACTTTGGGTCTATGTCCTCTTTTATCTCTGCAGATGTTTCTCTCTCTGCACCTCCCTTTCTCTTTCTCCCTTCTGATGCAGGTTTTTCCCACGTAATATTGCCTCCTCACACAGGGCCATCTGCCCCTACTTTTCTCCTGTGTCCTGTGCTATCTGGTCCTCATGTAACAAATCAGAGTCTTTTTTCCTCAGTGAGGTCAAGACTGGCTGCTGTCTCCCATACCACCATGCTGCTTTTCCCTTTATAGAAGGGCCTATTGCTACTCTAACCTGTACTGTATTTTGCTGTTGGTGTAAGGGCCTTTATCAGTTGCAGTTCTTCTGTCAGTCAAATAGTGCTCTTATTATCCTATAAGTAGCATTATAAAATCCACAGGCACTCAGTGCAAGTTGTCCATCTGCTATGATCTCCTGCATCCAATTTTTGTAACTGCTCTTCTTTCTTTCTTTGGATTCATTGAAGTCCAAGGAAATTATGAAGCGGCAAATTCTTACAGCTGGAGCAATGAGTTTTTGAGTTGAGAAAAACCTGTGTTTGTTACATTTGATACTGGATCTCTTGTTGCTTTTTCCTCGGCCATCTCCCCTTGTACCTCCTTAACAGTGATGGTAAGGGAGAGTTATTTATTCTCTTCAGATGGCAGGAGCAGGCAGGAGCTGTTGCTCAGATCCTTGGACTTTGGCATAAACTTGGACTTGAACTTAAATATGCTTGAACATAAAACAAAAAGGCAGTCCTTGTCCAAGACTTTATGCCACCTTCCCTCACTATGAGGAAGGGGGGTGGGGGTGGGGTGGGGACATCCAGACCCTCTTGGAGAAGTGCTTTCCAATAAAAAAAGCGTTATAAACATAAGGTCTGTTACTGTATACAAGAAAAATGACCAAAACTACGTTCTTCATCTGTCTGCCAGCACCTGTGACTGTACAGCTGTCATGAGACCTTATAGATGCAAGAAAGTGAGACCCTTAATCTCCCCTTGCTTCCTAACACACATCTGAGGCTCTGGGTATTAAAGTAATGCATGCTAGTGTTAAGGAAGTTGTCTTCTGGATGTACAGCTAGCTGCCTGAGGGGCACAAGGGAGTTAATGTTTTAGGGACACACTTTTAACCCAATCTGACCATTTAAAAGGCTCATTCTCCTCCCTTGCACACTCTGCTCAGGCTTAATCCCATCCAACATGCCTCTACAAGTCCTTCCTAACTTATTGTTCCACTCACCTTCTTTCAGATCCTGCCTTTTGTCTGGCTTCCCCAGCAGAGCTCGCATACACTGGAAGATAGCCAGTAAGTCTTGAAGTGAGCTAGGATGAAGTATGGTTCCCTAAAAATTAGAGGGCTCATCTTTTTCAGTGCCCAACTCCCATGGAAGCTGGTTTGGGAAGTAAATGCCTACATGTCTTTATGAAGGAGTCCCCAAGTCCCTCAGCAAAAGACAAGGGCAGATGCCTGGGAGGCACAGAGAAAGGTTTGATTTGTAGATTCTGGGGAATCGGATGTCCTGCAGGTATTGGTACTCCATTAATGTACCTAGTACTTGACTGTTAATAAGGAACATCATGAAGGATATCTAGCAACAACAGTGTCTGCCGTGAGGTAGCACCCAGTGCCTACCCAAGCGCTGCCTTTTGCCAGCTGCTGTAGAGGTAATAAATCAGTCAAGGGATGTCAAAGTTCAGTTTCCAGGGGGAAATAATGATTTTACTCAAAAGTGGAATGTGCCTGCCTTAATAAGGGACACTTAGCAGCATGGGATCTCTTCTCTATACTCTGTCACTCCCTTCCATGTGCTGATGTACCCTTTTTTCTAAAAGCCACCAACCCTCACTGGATCAATGAGGCCTGATCAATTGTTTTTCCCTCTGAATCATCCATATGGGGTCGTTAGCTGAGCTGCTGGCAGAAAGTGAGAGACAGCTTTCTGTCTGTTTACAGTAAAGAAAGCAAAGCAAGCTACAGGAGGGGACAGGCTGCAGGATATTTACTGTCAATACAGCCGGAGAGAGAGAGGAGATATAAGGAGAGGGGAGCAGAGGCTGCAGACTTGCAACCCAAATGAATGATCTGAGTGTAAAAATACCCATGCAGTTTCAGACGGAAAGTGGGTGGATTGAAGTCAACAAGGGATAGCTGAGAGTCTTTAACAAATGGTTTAGTGTAGGGCTAGTGAAGCAGAGAAGTACTTGTGGCACACAGAATAATAATGCTGTGCACAAGCACACTGAATCTGCAGTGGAATCTGAAAGGCACTTCCAGATCTGCCCTGAGACAGAGCAGCAGCTGGGATACTTTTGTGTGTGCCTGCATGCAAGACCCACCATTTAAAAGTAGTAAGATGAATCATAATGATTGAACTTAGAAAATAATTGGAGCTAGTTTTCTAAAGCAGCTGGATGTCACCATTGTAACTCAGACCAGAAATTTTTTTTTTTAAAAATAGGCATACTTCCTTGCTTCTCTCTCCTCTTCTTCATCCACAGAGGAATTAGGTGACCTGAGCTTCACAGGGCAAGAAGGCTCTAAGTAGCTCGCTCTGAGTGTCCCTCTACTTCCAGAGGCAGGTGAACAAGTGAAGAGTGAATTCACACTTTAGAGAGCAGCGAAGACCATCTTGCCATGAAACCGTTTGCAGATGAAGATGTAGAAATCTACATCCAGAGCAAGGTAAGGCTTTATCTGTCCAGATTTTCTGTCTCTCACACTAGGTGTTGATTCTGAAGCGTGCCAAACTTGACAGTTCGTTGCTTGCCTGCTGTCTTCATTTCTGAGACAAGTCTGGGTGAAGTTTCATGAGAACTGTATTTCTAATGAGATTTCTAGGTTTCTGTTGCAGAATGTTATCAGGGATCTCAGCTGGTAGCCTAGTTTTTTCAAGGTGCTTGTCCTCTTCTTCAGATGTCCTGAATTTTTCCTCCTGATCTGGAATTCCAGATGTGAGACTAGCTGTAATTGTCATCATTTAATCTAAGGAAAGGTCCTTGCCTCTCTCTCTGTCAAGCCAAGACCACTGGACAAGAACAAGATCAAAACCACACCAGGCGTTGCCTCTAAGAAAGTTGCATGTAGGAACTAGAGAGAGAGACAGATATTGTTAGAATTCACCCATCGGTCTGTCACCTCAGCTAAGGATACTTATCTATATACCATGATTAAAATAACATGCCTCACTAGCACATGCAGGCTGGAACCACGTTTTCTACTTTATGAGATATTCCAGCACTCATTTTTTTTTTTCCCATTATGAAATGAAGTAAAACAGAATAAAATCCAATGAAACAATACTGTTTAATAAAAGTAACTCTAAGTGAGCCATAACATTTTTTAAAGCTGACATGTTTCATCACAGTACTTAGCTAGTTCCTATTTTATAGGTTGCTTTCCCCAACAAAATGCAAGACACTAAAGTGAAAAATCATGTCAAAATGGAAAACTGAAGGCTTTCTTTTCTGTAAAGGATGAAATATTCTAGTACCGTGAAGGGGCTGATAAGAAAAGCTTGTTTTCTCTATGGAAATGTTTTGGTGATAAGTAGGTGTACTTCTGTGAGAACTTTCATTTTAAGCCATTCAGTGTTGTGCACTGGAAAATCATTTCATGAGAATCTGTGCAGTGAGCTATAATAGTGGACACTTCTCTGAAGATATATAAAGCAGAGCTACAAAGGAGGGAACAGAGGGAAGCCATGCACAGGAAGATGCTCTTATGACTGCCATAGGTACAAAGAACAGAAGCAGAGCGTATTTAAGTGAGGCTCATAGTTGCCAATATTTTAGGTTCTACTGAAAGTCTGTTTTCTAGAGCCTTCCATGGCTGGATTCCTAGTTTCTGCCTGCTCCTGAGTCTCCTGTCCAAGTGAGGCTGCCTAACCTTCAGGCAGCCCCAGTTCTGCTTGTCAAATGCTGCCTGGTTTTGAAAATAGGTCAACCACCTGGTGCAATGAATCTCTATGATACCAAAGATTTCTTCCTTAAGCCACTCAGCAAAGGAAAAACTCAACTGCATATGGAGTGGATGTGACTGGATAAATAAGAACAAACCCAAATGTTCTTACTAATCCCCAGTAAATCCTAGTCCTGCTTCCTTCCTCCATAATAAAACCTTAATTGACCTTATTGTTCTGGTTTTGTGCATTTGTTTTGTCATGATTTCCAAAGTTAAGACGTGGTAAGGGGAATGCCAGTACGTGGTAGAAGTGGCTGTCCAACAAAGAGCTTATTCTGTCTCTTCTCCCAGCATGTCCGTGCGGGCGCTAAAGACACCTTAGATAAATGCCTTGGCTCTTCAGAAGCTGCACTCACTCACTCATGTTCTGTCTTCTGATTTTTATGCCTTCCCTTCTGTAGGAAGGTTATATCTTCCAATAGCGTGATTAGGGAGCTAATTGTGGTTAGCAACAGTTAGCACCATCTGTCACATGCCCCTGCCCCAGTGATGAGGAATACATGCAGAAAGAGGTGTTTAGTGATACCTCCCTTTATAGTTTTTTTGAGAGTCTATACTCTCTTAAAGATTTCATGACAACTGCTGTAGCCTAGCCAGTAGGTGATGAAGGCACAATTAAATGAGGCCAGGCTGGGTTGGATGGATTCTCCCAGGATACTGGAGATGGCAGAAAGTGTTTCTAGCAGGTGCCCCTTAGAGAGAACGTAGCATAAGCAATGTGTACAGGGGCACTCTTAGACCTCCGCTTGAGCTGACCCACAGTGATTGTATCCTTTCAACAGAAAAAGTCTGGCGTTTGTCTCTAAAAGCTCTTACAGGTGGGCAACTTTCTCTACCACTCATACCATTTGCTTGTTGGAGAAACCATTAGGTGTCTTGTTGAGCAAGTCAAGCTTATTGGACTGCTCTAAGGAGTTCTTCTGGATGAGCAAAAACGTGGCAGAGAAAATAGCTATAGCTACAGATGCGGAAGTGCCATAAATGAAAGCTGAGATGAGGAGGCGAAAATGAACATGGGCTAAAATTTTTCAGTATAAATTTTCTTTAAAAAAAAAAAAGTACATGTAAGCTAGCTAAAAACTGTCTCAAAGAACAAGGATGAATTGGAATGAGGAGGAGAGTGAATTACTAGGGAAATTAAAGGGTATTATATAAACATAAGGAACTGTGTTGTTAACATAGCAAAGAATCAGGATGTCAAGGGTAGATGAGAGCCAGCAAAGGGAATATGATGCTGCTGTCTGATGTATTTTCCACTTGCAAAAACTATTCAGGCTTAGTAAAAATACCATTAACTTTGTTGGCTGGGGGGGGGTATTCAAACTCTGCTCATCTTCAAGTTCAGTGTTAGTCAATTGCTCTTCATTGGTTAATTGATCTTAGGCAAGCACTAGTCCTTTTTAGTCCATTGTATGGTCCGTTGTTGTGAAGATGTGTAGCTATTTGTCACCTCCCAGGTGACAAAATCCCAGGGCTTGGGGATACATTTCAACACACTTGAGTGTTTTGACTGACAGTTCAGCCTTTGACATAAAGGTGTCTAAATGGACTTTTAATGAAGTGATTGTCAGTGGTATTTTCTAAAAGGGAGAAGAGTGTTGCTTAGATGCTGAAGCAGATGCTGAGCAAGCAGGACACAGGAGTTTTAGAATAGAATCACAGAATGGTTTGGGTTGGAAGGGACCTTTAAAGATCACCCTAGTCCAACCCCCTGCCATGGGCAGGAACATCTTTCACTAGACCAGGTTGCTCAAACCCCCATCCAATCTGACTTTGAACGCTTCCAGGGATGGGGCATCCACAATTTCTCTGGGCAACCTGTTCCAGTGCCTCACCACCCTCATTGTAAAAAATTTCTTCTTTATGCTTTTGCTTCCTTTTGCTTTGGTCTTTGATAACAACAGAAGACTGTAGCGATTATGTTCGACTGTGGCAATTATGCTTGATCATTCACTTTAGCCAAGCTGTTAATGATCTAAACACTCTTGTTTCATGCCTGCAAACAGCCCAACTGGGGTTTTAATTCTAGCTTCAGGTGGGTTTTCATTTTCTGATCTAGTCCTTTCAAACCTCTCATCTGTTTCTGAATTTTGTTCTTGCGTCCAAACAATGAGATTTAGTAGAATGTGATGAGGAAAAAGAAAAAACAAGAAGAAATTGCAGCAAGAATTTCAACCAAATAAGATAAAGCATTAGTATGCAAAAAAAGCACAGTAAACAGTCATCATATCTCACTCTGCATAGGTAATTCTGGATGAATAAGTAATGAGGAATATTTTCCTGAACGTCATTAACAGTAGCTGAATCTCCTCCTCACTTTGGTAAATATGTAAGGATTTTTGGGAAATACTTAAATGTTCTTTACTAACATGGTTCCTCCATGTTCCTCCTGTTGAATCTTCTTGTTCAGATTTTCACCATCCCCTTATGCTCTATTAACTTTTAGTTGTATGTGAAGGTGAAGGTTCATCTGTATTTTTCTGAGTTGTCCATACTTTATCTCGGTCCTTCCAAGACTCAGGCCTTCCACTGAAATAATTGTTAATAAATACTTATGCTACTACTGCTTGAATTGAAGGACTATCCATCAAGTCACACAAACACTTAGTCCCCAGTGGGACTGCCTGTGGAAAGAGACCTTCTCACCATCTAGGAATGGACTCTCATCTGTACTTCAGATATGAAGACAGTATGGATACTTTCAACATATTATGTAGGCATCTAAATGCTAATGCACACAGTATCTGTGATTCTTGAAGTCTTGTCAGCTCTTCGAATGAAACATATCCTGGCTCTGAGAATGGCAAGTATATTCACGGGAATAGCTGGGTATTCTGCATCAAAATGGGTAAAGAATGAGACTGTAGCCGGTTGATAGCAAATTTATCCACGAAATGAACTCCTTCCCTTCCATCCAATGGTATTGGCATGGAAATATCAATTAATTCTCGGCAGTCTGGAGTATTAGCCCTTCGGTGTTCACAAGCAAGAGCTCTGCTTCATGGTAAGTTGGTTGTAACATACAGGGAACGATAAGTTTTATTCCCAGAGCAGCACAGGCACAAATGTTTCAGGATGCTTTAAGTCGATTGTCTGTCTTCTGCTGGAGGCAACGACTGCAGTTACCTGTAATATGAAGTGTCTTTCTTGGAACTGACAGGTGGAACAACGACATTATCTGGTTTCCAAAGCAGTGGACGAGGTGCAGAAAATCATACAGCAACTAACCATGGAAATCAGCGATAAGGCCACGCGATTCCAGGCTATCTCCAACTCTGGCATTCACAATGAGAATATTAAGGTATGAACAAGAGCTCTAGCATATACTCTCTGGCAGCTTGTAGGCAGTCAGTAAGTGATTTTTCCATTGTATCAGTGTCTGTTTGGACACATACCTCACCCAAAACGCCGCAGATGATGTGTTGACACTTCACTGTGGAAGTTCTAGTGACTGTCTGGGTCACAGGGACTTACTCATGGACATCTTACAACTAGAGGAGCATCAGAGAGGGCTGGGTAAATCAGACAGAGCCTCTTTTTACAGCTGCTGCTTTTACACAGAGTCTATTGCCAGAGTGTCAATCTGCAAGCAGAAGCCAAAGCTCTTTGGGAGACAGAAAGAAAAACTTGTACAGCAGTAACATAAGAGGAAAAAAATGCTTACGCCTTCATGAGCTATGACTCATATTTTTCACAGGTGGAAAACCTGTCAACTCACTAAAAAAAGGAAAAAAAAAAATCCTTCTTCCGCTGTGAACATTAGAAAGCTCCTTTTCAGAAAAATATGTTTTTTCTCTTGGTCACAGATTGGAACTTCTTTTTTACTGGGAAGAAATATGCTTATTGGTGGGAGAAGCTGAATGCCTCCCCATTTTAGACCATCAAACACCAGAATAATAATGTTCTATCCCAGCTGTGACAGGAGAAGACTGGTTATTTTCTGTGACTACTTAACACAAGAATAACTAGTGTAAGGATATAAGAAACAATCATAGCAATGGCAACTTTAGATGGAAATGATCTTTTTCATCTGAAGTAGTTTACATACTCTAGCGATGTCAACCCTTACACTAAAATGCAGCCAGTTACGGATCAAAACCCGGCTGCCTGCCGGGTTAAACCACACCACCACCAAACATGTAAAAGCATGAGGCAACTTTTGCAGCTGTCTAGGATTGAAAGGGGAGAACACTGTGTGCATCAGGCTGCTGAAAGGATATGGAGGTGGAGGCAGAATATAATCATCCAGTCTGAAACGTGGCTATTGCTCTGGGAACAAAAACATTCAGATTTATATCTTTTCTGGAATTTTGCGTATCCCAGGGCATCTGGCTTTGCCAGTAGGAATGACCACACTGATGTAAGAGGGTGCCACATCCTGGTCCACGTGTTCCTTAGTGCCATAGTCTGCCATCCACCTCTCATGCTGGAACAAACCTGCTTGGCTAATGAAGTCTGACAAGATCAGGGTCAAGGTAAAATTGCTGCTCTGGAGAACAAAGCAGAACAAAAACAAGGCAGTCTATTCTGAGCAGTAATTTGGTATTACGGTAGGCTGATCTGAACAACCTCTGCTTAAAAGGAATCCCCAAAATTTATTTTCTTAAAAAGTAATAGATTTGTTATTCGTACTTAACTGAACCCAGTGCTATAAATCTGTGATAGTCACACCAGGAGGGCCTGGGTAACTGTCCTGTAGGTATGGGGCAGCAAAGAGTGGGTTAATAATAATTTTTTTTTTTGGCTTGGGCTGTTCTGCTTCCAAAAAATAGAATCTTTAATATTGCTGCTGATATAACTCAACATAGAGGAGACTTGTGTCAAGGGAAAGCCAATATATTAACTATTCTGTGTTTAATTTTGCAACAGCTTTTTTCCTGTCAATTAAATTTACAGGAACTTTTTAGAACTTTCAGCTTCTGATTGAAAGGACTTAATTTAACATGATGTGGAGTCTAGATTTGTTGACTCCTTCTAAATATGCAGGGCTGGGTGGGGAATATGGAAGAAAAGTCTTTAGATAGTCAATGTTTTTCTGTAATCCAGGGGACAAAAAGTCAAAATCTTTAATAAAAAACTTGAAATAAAATTCAGATGGACAAAATGGAATATTTTATTTTTAAAACTTTTAAGCGTTTGTTTTTAGTTGTGGCCCACCATTTTTGCAGCTGTCAACTGCGCAGGGCTGATGCAAAGGCTGTGGAGGCTTCACTAAGGCATAATGAGCAGGTTAGCGTCCAGAGTAATTCCCGGTACAGCACTGCCCAACAGCATTGCCAAGTGTTTAACTCTGTCATCATGGCGCGGGGGTGGAGGGGGAATTTTCCTTTAACAAATAGGCTCGAAGGAAGCTTGCAGCTTTGCCCTGTGAAGGACTGACCTGGCACCTGCTTTCTCTCTGTTCTGTGTACTTCTTGTTTTCCTTTCTGCTTCTCTCAGGATCAGCCAGCTTTACTGGCCAAGTGGTCAGCTATGCTTCGGGGGAAGCGCCCATTCTACTCATCCATCCAGGTACAAAGCCTTTCTGCCACCTGGTGCCCGCCGGTCCATGTGCCTGCTTCCTCCTCACCCACCCTCTTCTCCAGACAGCTTCACCCACCTAACTGATCCTCCCGTGACTATTTCATCCTCTCCACAAAAGACTTGCTTTTTTGCTCAAAATATTTTATTTCTAACCTAATGCTTCTGCCTCCCTGCGATATCCTGGCCAGGATCACAAGAATGAGGCTGTATTTAATTCACCCAGCATACTGCAGGCAGGTTTTTAATACAGCAGAGTTGGCCATAAGTTACACATCCCAGAATCTGAGGCTCTTGTTCAAGCCTGTGACTTGCTGGGGCCCATGGTCTGCATATGGCATGTAAGACCATCATGTGACAGAGCATAGGTGTGGGACTGGGATTTGTTTAGGCCAAGAGGACACCAGCTGCCCAGCTTTACAGTGCCGTCCCCAGCCTTGTGATTTCTGGTGTTTCCTGGTAAGCCCCAGGTGGAGGAGCCTTGTGACTTGTATTTGAAGGCGCTCGTGTAACACCTGCAGCTCTTCCCTTTAAAATCTGTTGGGTGCCAATGCGTACGAGTCAGAATCTTGGTATGGGAAGGAATGGTTGTTTATCTGCAAATGTGGCCGAGGCAGTGAGATGAGCAGTAACTGCATGACAGCTATTGTATTTTTTCCTTATGGAGCCTAGCAGTTCATTTCTGAGCTGCTCACAGGATTTCTCAGCCGTACCAAACCTGACTTGTGCAGGTCAGCTTGGTCTGCAATGTCATCCTTGCGGTATCCTCCTGCCTTTAGGTGGTTTATATTTGACAAAAGAAGGGCTTTCTGGTGCTTCCTTTGCCATTTCTGTGCTTCTTGCTGGCCATCTTTTGTATTTCAAACCTCTTGCCAGGGAGCAGAGAAGACCAGCTTCTCCCTGTGGGAGAGGGAGCCAGGAGGTGAGCATGACAACACGGCAGCACCTGCCCCATGGTCCCCAAGCAAGGCAGACCTAGGGAGGACAGCTGGGCTCAGCTGAGAGTCTGGATCGTCAGGCAAGTCTGTGCTGATAAGGCAGGTCTGAGGTCAAGCCAGGAGCACTCATCGGGGTCAGGATCAGGCCCAATGACAGTAACCAGGGTCAGATGCAGTCTATTGATTGCCCGGCAAGTCCATAGTGGCCAGGTATGTCTGAGGTCAGGCTGGGAAGGCAGTCTGCAGGTAGGACAACAAGGTCTATGGCCAGGAGCAGGCATAGTGATCACACAGCTGGAGACCAGCACTCCTATGACATAGCCCAGTGCTGAGCTGAAATGGGGGTCCCAGGCCCATGGGCAGAAGGTGTGGGTAGAAGTCCTGGAAAGGCTGTTCAGGGCCATCAAAGCCTGTTAGTGCCCTCAGGACCCTGGCACCTCTGCAGTAATATTTTAAATCAGCTGAGCTACCAGGAAGGCCGCCAGAATGTTTTGGATTATTACAGGAGAGTGACAAGGGCATTTCATTCACCTCAAGGTAACCACCTTGTAGCAACAGCTGTCACTTCACATCCTGCTCGTGCAGCAGCTTCTTATTAATCCCAATGTAAGCTAGGCTTGGTAGCAAGCAGGGTTGAAAAGCTTCTGAGTCAACACGGTAAAAGTCTGAAGGAGTTTGAACGCCCTCTCTGAATACCTGGAGCCACGATCGCCAAATGCTTCCAAACTAGTGTTTGGAGATGTCTGGCTATGCTCTGGGGCCAGTATGAGGTTTCATGGTATTTGTGTCACCTTATTTACTCTTTGCAAATACTGGTTCAGCACTGGTTTTATTGGAAAACGGTCATTCCCCCAGTGAGGCCGATTAATTGGCTTGCAAACAAGCCTATTTGAGGGTTTGTTGTCCATTGGTTACTGCTTCCATCCTTACACGGTTTCTGGCTTCTGCTCAGCAGGAGATGCAGGTTCATACAGTACAGCTGGCCAAGACCTGGGTTTATTTCTGAGAGTGCCACTGCCTATGTAGGCTCAGGCATGTCACTTGCCTCACATCTCTGTCTCTTAAAGGACAGTCATGCAGAGTGAAACACTTGTAAAATGAATGGGCCATAGCCTTATTTTACTAATGTCTGTAGTGGACTTTGAAAAAGATCAGAAAACTGCACTTTTTGCCATAGTTATTACTGCTATTGAACTCTAGGCTTATCTCTAGTAACAATTCTGAGATTGCACTGTTTTGTTTCCCTTTGCTGGATCTCAGAACACGCTCTCTGATGTGTTCCTGCTCCTTGGAAGCTGCTAGTTATTACATCTCATGCAGCTGCACACTAGAAATAACAAGGAATGGGGGAAACCATGACAGGTGTGGCGGCAAATCAGTCAGTGCACTCTTGTCTTCTATGGTCCATGGCTGTCACATCAGACTCCTTCTAAGACAATTTCCTTTTAGTCTGCGTACCTCCAAAGTAACCCTCAGACAGGCATGGAACAGGTCCTGGCTGTAATCAATTGCTCCCATCATACCATGGCTTTTCCTTCTCTCCAAAGCCCCCAGTTTTACCTATTACTTCCTTAACCCTCTTTTCCTTACTCCAGGCTCATGGATCTGCCCTTGTCTCCTCTCTCAATCTCTCTGCACTCTCCTAGGTCTTAGCACCCAGCCAATTCCTCATCACAGTCCCTCTGCGTGGCCTGACCGGGTACAGGGAATGCCAGGTACGGCACTGGCGTTATTACACCGTGCATGGAGCCAAGCTCCTCTCCTCCGTGCGGGACCCTGAGGAACTGCATCAATGGCTAGAGGTGGAGCAGTTCTCAAAAAGCCTTCAGCAGTGGCATGAGACGGATGTGAACATCGAAGGTGATCTGGTTCCAGCCAAAGTCCTTATCGTCTTCCGGGAGCTGGTGGAGAAGTCGATTACCTCCTGTAACCTCTCCAGTGAGTTTAGTGGGGACAGGTATAAGGGGAAATGGCTGACTTCTGCCGCTGATAGAGGGGAAACCATCACACACACAAAGTGTTTGTTTGGTTGACATGATCAGAAGTTAAAAAGCAACAAGCCCCTCCAAAATCAGGGACCCTTTAGCCCATTTCAGTGATGCGTGTAGACCTGCATTGAGGATAGAATTAGGTAGTTCTTGGCCTCTTCATACCCAAGATGTGTCTCCTTTTTTAGGAATTTGAGTAGGGTCTCCAGCAACATCGTCCTCGCACTTCAGCCAAGACGAAACACAGATTTTCAGGACATTTAGGAATTTGTTTGGGAAAAATCTTTTTTATACTACAGCAGCCGCAATATATCTAGACTAGCGAGGAAGATATTATAGGAAAATTGGATACAGGGAAGGTGCCTAAGTCAGAGGAGAAAGTGCTTGAAGATGTTTATAGGGCAGATAATGCTCCGGGGAAACCTTAGCTGCCCATAGCTTTCCAGCATGGGGTGGTGGGAACTAAGTAGAAGGACTTCTACTTAAGCAAGGTCTGTTGGGCAAGTACTCTTTTCCCCAGCACCCAGGCTACTCCAGTCCTGTTCAGCAGAACTGGATTCAGGAAGTTTGCTTTCAGTAGTGTTACTGATCCCTCTGTGAGCAATCCAAAGTGCCTGTTTATTTCCTGGGGCTATTTATACTGGAAGTGCTGATCATTGATATAATGCAATCAGTGGTGCATGCGACATGACTTCATAGCTGCAACATCTGTAGCAAGATGCTGCCTAAACAGTGACCCTCATGCTTAATTCTTAGCATCCTAGAGGTGTGTTATAGACTTCAGCTAATGAACACTTGGCTTGGTCCAAGCTAAATAGTCTATGTCTCCATCTTTTCACATTAAGATACTGTGACATGATCAGATCCAGACTGTGGCGCCTCTTCTCATAGCGTGTTTCCAGGATGACGTTACTCAGCAGCAGCCTGATATGGGTCTTCTGTATTCCAGAGAAATAGGAGCCATTTCCACTCGTCTGATTGCACTCTGAATTTTAGTCACGGGAGAAAACATGTTAAAGTCAAGCTCAGCTAGATCATTGTGTTCTTCCAGGAAATATTTGTTATCATAGAAATGGAAAGGTTGATGGGAATGAAATTTCACCATTGAGGCTCACAGAAAAGACCAGATGGAATGGGCTTGCATCTGAGGCTTTATTTATGTGAAAGTCATTGTGTTGAAGTGAAAACCTGCCATTGTGTCTAGCAGCAGTACGTCAAGTTGTTGAGCCAGGAAAGGTACTTCCAAGGGACTCAGGGAGCAACATTTGGGCTGATGATTCTGATGCCTTTTTTGTAAGGTCAGCTGGGAGGAGATTGACATAGAGGAGATGAGCTAAGATGAAGTCAGGAGGAGTGATTACCATCTTTCTTTGTTTCTGTGAAGAATGAACTTCCTTCATCCCACAGTACAACTAAAGTTACAAAAAAATTTCCCTAATTTCATTGTTTCCCTGGTTTTTAAATCTTTGAGCACCAGCAAACCCAGTTTTTGAGCTGCCTCACTTTTCATTGGTGGAAAAATAGGTAGCATAATTGCAATGTTTTTGGAAATACTGTGAATGTATTTACATGCTGACACAGCGATTGCTCTAATTCTTTTCACCTGCTAGGGATCCCTGCTGAGGGCTTGGGAGCAGCACAGTTCCTGTTTTGGTGCCAGGCTTGGCTCAGTAGGGAAATAACATGCAGATTTTACTGAAGGTTATAAAGTTCTGGTTGGGATGGACTCCGCTATTTGCAAGTTAATTCACCCCTGCGCTTCCTGGAGCAGGTGCTAAATTACCATTGGAAATAGGCAGGTATTTCCTCTGTGAGGGTAGATGATGTTCATCACTGTCCCTTCAAGTCTGTTGTGTGGGCTCCTTGTGGAATTGCTCCTTAGCCTATGCCAGTCAAAATGAGGTGGGTTAACACACTACTATTTAACTTGCTTACGGTAATCTGTTCCGTCTTTTACTTCAGTAGGTTAGAGCATGATCACGCAATTGGCTCAAATGGCAAAGTTGAAGGGACAGTGATCCTGCCAGAGTGACAGGGAAAGCTGGGGACAGAAACTTCTTCCATGAACACAGCTGGACCAACAGGAAACATCTCACTAAGTCCATTAGTTGCAGCTTTCATTCCTTTCTGCTCTCTTAGAGCACGTTGTTCCTGAAGATGAGCCACTCTTCTTTCACTGGGGAAACTTCTTTCCTCCAAATCACCATGGAACTAACTCTCTTTGACAGTCAGCAGTCCCAGTAAGGCAAGCAGTTAGCCCTTTTTGTATGACTGCTCTGCACAACAGGACATAATTTCTGGCACTGTCTTCTGTGTAAATGCATCTCCAGAAACAAAACGTATGGATACCCCACAAAACATTCTGAATGACCAGCAAGGGTAAGTCATTTGGTCTGATCATGGGTTCTCTGAAGGAATAAGGAGATCTTTAGATATGGAGTGTTCATCTGGTCCCCTCTAATCTGCAGTGATCTCCTTGTTGTACTGTACCATTAGAAATGTTAGGTTGCACCAGTTGTCTATCTGTATTTTTAAGAAGCTGGTCCTAGGATTTAAGAGGACCCACAGAGGAAAACAAAAGCAAGGTAACTGAGTGTAAAATTGAGAACTTAGTTGTTCCTTCATCTTCTTCCTGTTCTCATTCCCCAGGGTAGATTAAGATGATAACGTTTTTCTTGTATTCCGCTTATGGCACTGAAGACAAAGTGTTAAGATAGAACAATAGAACTGCAGGGCCCCAGACAGCCCTTTGCTTGGCTTGTAGAAAAGGACCTTTTCCTCTTTATTATCTTCTCTTGCTGTTCTTTCACAGGTAAAGTGACAGTGCTGGAGAGCTTCAGCTCAGTGGTCCGGGTGGCTGTGGAGACGTCAGAATCCCAGGTTGAGGTGGAGCTGGTCCCTGCTGTGGAGATTCCAACTTGCTGGCCTGAGAAAGCCCGGTGGCCTCGTTGCCTTAAGCGTTGGCCTTCCCAGGAAAAAGTGCAGTGCATCAAGGTGAACCATGTAAAAAGCACTATTAACTGTGCCGGAATTTACTTCACAAGTGTCTGACAGTGCTGAAGGTGGTTTCCCAACTGAAGGACTGCATGGCAGACAACAGCATGGTTGGAAGGTGTATTCTCTAGAGAAGCAATATTTCCAAGTATTCTGTCAGATTTTATTTGAATTTTTTTTCCCCCTTACGGTGATGAATTCTATGGAAGAAAAACTGAGTTAACTGCGTGAGTCTCTTGCACACAGCTCTGCCTGTGTAGCTCAGTGCTGACATGCATCATTCTTGCTGTTCTGCTCTGCCTCATGTAAGCCTTCTGCGAATGGGCTGTTATTTTGCAGTTTTC